GTCGTCGTTGTTGTTGTTGTTGTTATTGTTGTTGTTCTTGTTGTTGTTGTTGGTGTTGGTGTTGGTGTTGGTGTTGGTGTTGGTGTTGTCGTTGGTGTTGGTGTTGGTGTTGTTGTTGCTGGTGGTGGTGGTGGAGGTGTTTGTTGTTGTTGTTGTTGTTGTTGTTGTTGTTGTCGTTGTCGTTGTCGTTGGCGTTGCCGTTGCCGTTGCCGTTGCCGTTGCCGTTGTCGTTGTGGTTGTTGTTGTCGTGGCCTTGGCCGTTGTCGTTGTCGTTGTGGTTGTTGTTGTTGTTGTTGTTGTTGTTGTTGTTGTTGTTGTTGTTGTTGTTGCTGTTGCTGCTGTTGTTGTTGTTGTTGTTGTTGTTGTTGTTGTTGTTGTTGCTGTTGCTGTTGCTGTTGCTGTTGCTGTTGCTGTTGCTGTTGCTGTTGCTGTTGTCGTCGTTGTTGTTGTTGTTGTTGTTGTTGTTGTTGTTGTTGTTTTGCCATGGCTTTGGGGGGGGAGGGGGTGTATCGATTTGAGCTCATTCTCAGGTATGGGTTGGCATGTCCCCGTTTATTTTCAGAAAGGGCAGCTATGAGGGCCCCTGTTTTTGCTGTTTTTGAGATGGAGCTATTTTGTGGTGTGAATTTGTGTTGATTGGTTTGCATTTATTTCCATGAAGGGTTCTTACGAAGATCTTCGATCAAACACTTGCCTTGCAGATTCCTGCATCTTCTGTAATTCTGTCTGGAGCCTGTCAACACGAGGAGGGGGGGGGTCGAGAAAAGAAAACAAAAAACTAAAACTTTTGTTTTCTGGCCGACCCCCCCCCATCACCAGACCCCCCCCAATAGATTTATAAGTGGATCCTAAAGTAAAAAGTACATAATAGATTGGAGAAAGATGTACACCAAAAGCTCTTAAAGAAGGGTTAGGATTCATTCTGGTTAAATATTTTATCCTAGGTGATGTAGCTTCCAAGATCTTAGATTACAAGGATGAGATTATAAACGAAAAGATGAAAGAGAAGAAGGTAATTCTAGATTCATAAAGTTGTCTATCTTATCTTACATTATCTTTTCATTAACTTCTAAAGTGTTAGGATTTTAAGAATTACAATAAAGAAAGTTAATTAGAAGATAAGGATAATGAAAAGTGGGTGAAAAGGACCCTTTTGGTCGTACATCAGCTATCATTATCCCGTCTCACCTTTATAATTCCTGTCTCTTTCTGATGTTAAGTTTAAAATGATAGACGAGAGAATGAAGAAAGAGGTGAAAAGAAATCCATTAAAATCTAGACTTATATTATTTCTATTTTATTGTTTTACTATATTATTTCATTCACTAGTTAAACATTTTAACCATAAAGGCTTAGGAATCTATTATGTATTGTCGGCATCTTTGGAATCTCCGGTACATGAACATCAGTCCTTATAAGAATAGGATTATATTCATCAGGAATATATCTGCAGAAAACCAGAACTTCTATAATATAAGCATTACATTGCATGGCTTTCTTATGGTCTTCTTTTTAGTACTGCCTGGCTTGTTTGGAGGATTTGGAAATTATTTTGTACTTATCTTTCAAGGGTCTCCAGAAGAGGTATGTCCTAGAGTCAATATTTTTTCTATCATAATTATTTTACTTTCATATCTTTTCCTAACCCTTTCTTTCATCTCAGATTTTGGAGGATTATTTCCACCATTATCCACTTCTTTTATGACTTTATCACCTTCAAGTACGGGAAATCTTGTATTAGGATTATTAATCTCTGGTATATCTTCATGTCTTACATCTCTTAACTTGTGGACAACAGTTCTAAATCTGAGATCTTATTATCTTATATTAAAGACTATCCCATTATGTCCTTTCTCTCTCTTGATTACAGCTTTCATGCTTTTATTAACATTACCTAGATTATCTGGTACACTTCTTTTAATGTTGGGTGATCTTCATTCTAATGCACTTTTCTTTGATCCAATATTTGGAGGAGATCCTATATTCTATCAACATTTATTTTGGTTTTTTGGACATACAGAAGTTTACATCTTAATGATTCCTGCATATGGGATCATTTCCATAATAACTTCTAGGGTTTTACAGTTAATAATCTTTGCTAAGCAATCAATGACCTTTGCCAAGTCATCTATTTCTCTTCTTGGAAGTCTTGTTTGGGGACATCATATGTATACTGTAGGTTTATAAAGTCATACAAGAGCTTTTTTTACCCGCGTGTGCGTCAATGGCGTCTAAGCTGGTTAAACGACCTTCCCGCAAGTGAAACATATACGTCCGCATGTACATGTTCCGCAAGAAGATCACGTGAGAGCAAAGAGGGTAGATCCTGGTTTTGTTGGTTCCATTGCAATCGGAGTTCATTCGTATCGAATGGAAGTAGGAAATGGATTCTCTCACTTTGAACATGTGGCCAGGAAGCATGCTTGTTTCTTGATGTACTTGATATCGCACAGGATTGTTAATCTTGTCGTGTTTTTCATCTCTGGGTTACAAACAATCTCAGCCATGCATGGCTAACAACTGTGATTCCTGCTTCAATTCTTGTTGCTCAATGTACCCTTGACATTTAACCCATGTTAGTTTTGTTGCATTGAAGAGTTCTCGGAGTCAGCCTGCGTAATTCAATACTTCAATGTTCAGAGCAATGTCAAAGGCGCGCGATGCTGCTTTCTCAAGAGTTAAAAACACCACAAAAACACTTAGAAAACACATCAATAACTAGGGTCTCGAGGGCCGCCCGCACTCTTTATTTTCTATGGCAGCCATGTATTGTTTTCGAGACCTCCTGCGTTCATGCAACAAGATGTGGATGCTTTTGAGTCGCATATCGTATTTATCACAGAAGTGACGATTCAAAGCATTCATTCAGTCAGTCAGTCAGTCAGTCAGTCATTGATAGATGTTTGTTTCATGTCATTTCTTTCATTTATTCATTCATTTATTCATTCATTCATTCATTCATGCATGCATTCATTCATTTATGTATTCATTCATTCATTCATTCATTCCCTCATTCATTCATTGATGCGCTCGTTCGTTCATTCATTCATTCATTCGCTCGTTCATTCATTCATTCATTCATTCATTAATTCATTCATTCATTCATTCATGCATTCATTCATTCATTCATTTCATTCGTTCATTCATTCATTCATTCATTCATTCATTCATTCATTCATTCATTCATTCATTCATTAATTCATTCATTCATTCATTCATGCATGTATTTTTCTTCATTCATTCATTCATTCATTCATTCGTTTAATTGTTTGTTCATTCATTCATTTGTTCGTTCGTTCATTCATTCATTCATTCATTCATTCATTCACGTCTGTTTCATTCATTCATTCGCTCGTTTGTTCATTCATTCATTCATTCATTCATTCATCCATTCATCCATTCATTCATTCATTCATTCATTCATTCATTCATTCACTCATTCATTCATTCATTCATTCATTCATTCATTCATTCATTCATTCATTCATTCATTCATTCATTTCATTCATTCATTTATTCATTCATTTGTTCAACCATTTGTTCTTTCATTCATTCATTCATTCATTTATTCATTCATTCACTCATTCATTTGTTCATTCATTCATTCATTCATTCATTCATTCATTCATTCATTCATTCATTCATTCATTTGTTCATCCATTTGTTCTTTCATTCATTCATTCATTCATTCATTCATTCATTCATTCATTCATTCATTCATTCATTCATTCATTTCATTCATTCTCTCATTCTTTCATTCATTCATTCATTCATTCATTCATTTATTTCATTTATTTCTCTCATTCATTCATTCATTCATTCATTCATTCATTCATTCATTCATTCATTCATTCATTCATTCATTCATTCATTCATTCATTCATTCATTCATTCATTCATTCGTGCGTGTATTTTTCTTCATTCGTTCATTCATTCATTCATGCGTTCAATTGTTTGTTCATTCATTCATTTGTTCGTTCGTTCATTCATTCATTCATGTCTTTTTCATTCATTCATTCGCTCGTTTGTTCTTTCATTCATTCATTCATTCATTCATTTTTTCATTCATTCACTCATTCATTTGTTCATTCATTCATTCATTCATTCATTCATTCATTCATTCATTCATTCATTCATTCATTCATTCATTCATTCTTTCATTCATTCATTCATTCATTCATTCATGTCATTCATTCTTTCATTCATTCATTCATTCATTCATTCATTCATTCATTCATTCATTCATTCATTCATTCATTCATTCATTCATTCATTCATTTCATTCGTTCATTCATTCATTCATTCATTCATTTCTTCATTCATTCATTCATTCATTCATTAATTTATTTCATTTATTTCATTCATTCGTTCATTTGTGCGTTCATTCATTCATTTGTTCGTTCGTTCATTCATTCATGTGTTTTTCATTTATTCGCTCGTTCGTTCATTCATGCATTCATTTATTCATTCATTCACTCATTCATTTGTTCATTCATTCATGCATTCATTGATTTCATTCATTCATTCATTCATTCATTCATTCATTCATTCATTCATTCATTCATTCATTCATTCATTCATTCATTCATTCATTCATTCATTCATTTGTTCATCCATTTGTTCTTTCATTCATTCATTCATTCATTCATTCATTCATTCATTCATTCATTCATTCATTGAATCTACAAGTACACATGCATGCTGCGCACGCAAAATGAGTATATGGCGTACACGTATCTTGTATATTTGGCCAGTATTGTTCGCGGCGTCATTGTGGCCAACTTGGGGGTAACCAGATCACTACCGCCAAGCATGCATCCAACACACACACACACATGCAAGGTAGAAGGGTATACATTACGCACATACTGCAAAGTGTCCAGCCGCGTCCAACCACAAAGCCCAGGTGGTTTGAATTGAAGCCGGGTTATTGTTTGTTCTTGCAAAATTCAAGAGGCCCCCCATATCTCAAGTGCGTGCGGATATGTTGCGCGTGCAAGGATTGGCTCTGCTTTCACCCTGGTGGGCTCGGTGGGCGTCTTCTTCTGCAGTCCCTACATCGCCCTACTCTGTGATCGCGTGGGCCGATTCTCAGCCACTGAGCACACTTTGCACTTTTCGTCTTGGCTTCCCTCTGCTTTTAGTGGTGACCCAAAAATGCATATAGTTTTTTTTTTCCTGGCTTCCCCTTCAGTTTCTTGGTGACCCAACCAAGTGAACATTTGGTCCCATTTTCTTTGGGTTGATTTTCGCCCAAGTGACCCAACACAGTGTTTTTTTATTATTGTTTTATGTTTTGTTGGCTGACCGGCCTGAGGAAAACCCATGATGACTCTCGGGGTTTGCATGAACTTCCTTACCACTGCCTCTTTGCTGGCCGTGGAGACCTTGGGCAACTTGGGCGCAAGGGCTAGTGAACGGGTTCCGAATCGGAAGTGCACCAAGGGAGCTACTGAGCTGCTCACTTCCCGAGTTCCGGAGCCCGGGCTGTGACTTTTGTGTGTTTGGACCTTTTCCTGAGTGGAGACTCGGTTCCGATCGATTGCACCCAAAGGACGACTCACTTCCTGAAAACCCGTTTCGGGCTGTAGTCACTTTGTGGGGTTTGGACCATTTTGGTGGTAAATAGCAAGTCGGGTTACCTTTTTGGCCAATGCACTCAAGAAGTGAGAATAAGGTTGACCCCGGATTCAACCCGTCCTATTCATAGGGGGTTAGTTTTGTCCCCTGGTTGATTATTATGGGGTCAACATGATTATGTGTGCAAACCGATTTCGGAAGTCATTTGTGATCGAACCCATGGGTCACACTAGTTGGATCGTTGACCTCTAAATGATTTTGGGAGGAAATGTGTCTGTGTCTCTGCGTGTGTTTTCTTGTTCACCTACACAGACCACAGCTATGTGCGCAATAGAAAGGCGTCCAGTTTGGTTGTTTTGGCAGAAATAGATGGTCCTGGCTGACCTGTTTCACAGTCTTCAGGAAAACACCTCCCCCCCCCTCGTGCCCCCTCGTGGCCCCCAAAAAGAATTCGGGGAGGGGTAACAGGTAAGGAGGTAAGGAGCATTTCTTATGTCCAACACGCCGTTTGTTGTTGGCAGATGTTCAACCAAAAGGACACCTCTGCCAAGGCATCTCACTTTACTTCTACTACTGCTTCAGTGTGCTGATGGCGATGATGTGCGGAACCGTGCCTTCGGCTTTTAAACAGCGAGTCGAGCCAGATAGGTGGCTCGGCTGTTGGTTGGTTTTGCAGAAGGAAACCAAAAGGACCCTTTCGCATGGCACACTCAGAGGACCCACGTTAGCCGGCATTTTGGGTGTTTGGGCCGATCCGTTGACCGGAAGCGGGCAACACAGCCTGGTAATGGCACTGGCTCAAGATCCAGAGCCTCCCAGATCAAGTGTACCAAAGATCGAAGGCCCAACAACTACTTTGCACTTTGCATCAGCCCCAAAAAATGGTTGGCCAGCCCCCCAGCGCTGTCCGGTCCGTAAGCCCAAACGGTGCCGGTCTCGGCATGGTGAAGAAAAATACAGGGTTCACTAAGCTGCTGATTGGAGATGAGAGGTGTTCCAAGCTCCCCATTTTTGTTACGTGGGGGTTGGTGTTCTCACAGGTGAGCTTCAGCCTATGTGAGTTGCAGATTACACTGGGTTTTTACATATGTTCAGGGTTGAAGAAACATATGAAACAGAATCTGCTTGTTTTTGTGTACCCCAGATGTGGGCCAAGTACAGATTTGTCAAGGAGACTTGTTCTAACCAATTCCACTCAGGAGATGCGGGGTGACCGAGTTGGAGAACAAGCTCTCCTCGAACAGGGCTCCTTAAAAGATACATTTTGCCGATTTGAAACATGGCTTTTTCCACCAAAATAAAGGGACACCTCCATTTACAAGGCAATGTTCAGGTGTATAATGTAAGGATCCCTGTCTAACTACGGGATTACCAATTTACTTAGGAAGGGATGGAAAAGATTTGGGTGGACCCTGGCGATCCCCAGGGGTGGGAGGGGAGCGAGGGGGGGGGTGGGAGTTGAAACCGCAGGTGATTTCTAGTTGGGTTGCGTACACTAGCACCTCTCAGCGCAGCTGATCTTTGTCGGGGGGGGAGAAACACACCACTTGGCGACAACCCCAATCTTCATAAATAAATTCTGGGGGGAGTGGTCCCTGTGCAATGTACAACCATCTTTACAACCTTCATAAGCTCTACAGCCTGGTTTCATCATGGCTAGAAGGCCTATATACACCTGAACAGCTCTATAAAATGGTTTCATCATAGCTATAGTACGGAAAGCTGTTGTTTTAAGTTTGTTTTATGACTTTACGTGTTTTGTTTGTTTGTTTGTTTGTTTGTTTGTTTGTTTGTTTGTTTGTTTGTGGTTTGTTGAGAAAATCCAAGTTGATCAGAAGTGATGCAAACAACACTCCTACTGTATGACCACACTCAACCCTGAAGTACCCTAGCAGTTCCCTATTTTCCTCTGTGCACTTGAGCCATGCACCGAAGTGTCATGGTGAAGTATTATGGGGTGTGCCATGCATGCAATACTTTGACACGGCCCCTTGAAGTCCACTGAAGTTGATGAAGTGGATCTTCACACTAATTAGCCAAAAGGTGGATTGAGAGGGAGCATGAAGTGAGTTAAAAACCTTCCGCATCTACCTCTAAAGCAAGTGTGACACGAAGTCACCTGTACCTGGACAGGAAGTCCACTGATCGCAACAGGAAGTGAAATGCCTTGATACAGTGTTTGAAGTTGCAGTGAAATCTTGAAACCAGTTGAAGTGTGTACCCAATCCAGTGAAGTGCATGACCACTCACAGTGAAGTGAAGATAGCCAAAGTTGTGCTGAATGTTGTAACTGTGATTCCAGTGAAGTTGCAAATTGATCACGCGGTAACCGAATGAAGTTGTAAGTCCAAAAGTTTCCCCGTTGAAGTTCTTCTCACTCCTGTCAGTGAAGTCTCACTCTCATCAGAGCCTTGCTCGAAGTCTCATAGCCATGCCTGAATCCATCGGGATGTCACCGTACTGGATGAATCCCTGGGCTATGTCAGACTGAAGTACCAGGTGCATGTACCTGCCGAAGCCGCCTTGAACCTGTCGGTGAGGAAGCTCACTGAAGATGAAGTGAGCTGCCTCAGAAGCTGTGAATCCCAAGGTGAAGATCTCAGAAGTTGATGCCTCGGCTGGTGTGAAGTTCCAATGAGTGAAATGGAGGAAGAAGTCCAGATAGTTCCGATTCCAGAAATGTGTCTGTGAAGTCTGGAGGGAGCTCCAGACTCTGTCAGCTTCCAGCTTGACTCCGATCAGGAAGATCTCGTCGTTTTCGCTTTGAAGTCTCACTCCCATCTCCTTGTTCATGTGAAATCCCCAGAGTGCGAAGAGAAGCGCCGACCGAGCGCTAAAACTGAAGTTTCCCATTCGGCTGCCCCACTCGAACTGCTCGGAAGTGATCCGAGGGGGAAGCATCGGCACAAACCTTCCCGCGTCTGCAGAAGTGCTCAAAGCCAATGGGAAGTGGCTCCTTGGAAGTGCCACCCAGTGAACCGGTCCGTACAGCCAAGGATCTGCATGAAGTCTCTGCGGAGGACTTGCATGCATCACGGGCCGAAGTGTCGAGTACACTCGCCTTTCTCCGTTGGTGTACAAGAAGTTCCCTGGAGGAAGTCTCACCCGACCAACATCATGAAGAGCCGGAAGTAGGCACTCTTGCACACTCTGCAGAGTGGCACATCTTCCGTCCTTCAGTGGCAGTGAAGTCTGCTGGTTCCGCCACCAGTAACTCTGAAGGAAGTCTTCCGGAGCACGATACGACCTGAAGATGAAGTCATCAACACTGCAGTTGACACGAGGGTGCTCCTGCGCCATGAAGTCAAAACCAAGACTCAAACTCGAAGTGAGCAAAGTGGAAGTCAGTCCGCACTGCAGTCCATGGCAGGCGGAAAGGTGGGTTTGCAAAAGGAAGCGCAAAATGGCCACCGAAGTTCAAACTCTATTTGAAGTTCCATGGTCCTAACGTTCTACTGGGTACATGTTGAAAACTCACCAAAAGTTATTTGGGGAGCGTGGTCAAAAAAAAACCTACTTCTTAGAAGTGGTTTCCGTGCAAATGCAAAGTGACTAGGTGAAAACATCGAATTCTGATGAAGTTCAAACTCATGCAAGTCTCTAGAGCATGCGACCAAATGGAAGTGTCACTCCCAAAGTCGCAAGGTGTCTCAGAAGTGTATCCCTGCTGACATACTTAGTCATGACATCAGAGGGATTGGAAGTGCCAGCCACCTTCTTCAACACAACAGTTCCAGAAGCAACAAGTTCCTGAACATACAGAAGACGAAGTTCCACATGCTTGGTCTTGCGTGAAGCTCCAAAGCGGGATGCCATGGATTTGCCTGCTGTGCTGTCAGTGTGAACTCGGAAGTTCACCTTCTGGGAGAAGTTTCCTTCAAGAAGAAGGGACCGTACGAAAAGTCCTTCGGAAACTCCAAGTCCGATCGCGTACAGTTCAGCTTCGCCTGATGAAAGTGCTACGGTTTGCTGTGTTCTGCTGATCGAAGTGACGTACGATCCTAGAAAGTACAGCGCTACACCTGAAGTGCTGCGTCTAGACTGTGCACAACCGGCCCAGTCTGAGTCGACGTACACGTCGAGGTCCAGAGAAGTCACCTTAGCAGGCAGAGTCACCTTAGGACACAGTTGAAGTACAGCCTCCTTAGTCCCAGAAAGGTTGCGAAGAAGCACCTCAAGCTTGTGAAGGTGATCTTGCGTCGGCTGAGAAAGTCCACGCGAAAGTTCCTTCGTCGCGAACTGTATGTCCGGACGCACGCTGCTAAGCCACAGAAGTTGACCGACCAGTCGCCGATACAACCGATGCTCGTCGGAAGTCAGCAAGTCTTCTGATTCGATCTTCTTCGGAAGTGAATCCGTGCCAGGCGTCGTAGAGACGCGACACTTCATCATGTCAAGCTCAGACAGCATTTTTTCGATGTAAGTACTGGGCATGCTGATCTCAATTGACCCAGCACGCCGTGCGATGCATCGACCAAGGAAGTTCACAGAAGAACCTACGTCCAGAACTCCTTCTTTTCGAAGCAAGACACGCTTTTGAAGTTCCTCGAACAAGTGCTTGCACGGAAGCTCATCCCCAAACAGAAGCAGGTCATCCACGTAGCACAAGGCGTAAACACCATGCTTCGCGTTGAAGTACAGATTCGGATCTGTCTTCAGACGAACAAACCCGAGGTCAGCCATTACGCTGGCGAAGTGGTCTTGCCACAGCCTTGGCGCATTCTTGAGGCCATACATGGCTCGACGAAGTCGCCAGAGGACTCCGCCTTTCGGGTAGTATTCGCCTGGAGGTATTACGAACACCTCATCTGTCATCAACGCGTGAAGAAACGCAGTGCTTACATCTCCAGCGAGGATGTACCAGTTCTTCGTTATTGCAAGCAACAAGAGAAGTTTCAACGTAACCAACGACGGTGTGGACGCGAAGTTGTCATCAGCATCCGAGACCTGGTCGAAGCCTCTTGCAACCAGCCTGCACCTCACGGAGTCGCCTTTAAAGCGCTTAACCCATTTGGTGCTTATGGCTGAAGCAACTTTCTCAGGAGGAAGTTCATCGACCTTGACCTCTTCGTACACGCCGAAGTCACGCATACTGTTCATTTCTTTGTCCATACCTGCAACTTCAAGCTCGCGAGGGAACTCCGTTTCGTACCACAGAGAAGGCTGCAAGGCACGAAGTTCCTGAGTCCTCTCGCCCTCGTCTGCGTTCACAAACACCGGGACCTCAAGTCCGTCCTTAGTGGTGATCGCAGATATGCAAGCATGATCAAGAACATGTTCGCCGAAGTCATCTTCGACGATCGCAGAGATTCGTTGAAGTTTGGATCGGCTTTCGGGAAGTTCATCCGGCACATCACGCTTCAAGTCTCCAGGAGCGGGTCCAACTCTTTGAAGTTGGGTAGCCTGCTCATCTTCCACATCAGCTTCCGGTGGCTCACGTTTTCTCGAGCCAGCGGCGTGAGCATGACGGCAATTGAGTCGTCGGCGTTGCCGTCCTGAAGTGCTGCAGGAGCTGGCACGGGAGGCAGAACGAAGTCATCTGTCTCCTCGGAACGGCCCCTCGGATCCCAAGGCTTTGCGACGAAGTCTTTGAGCATGTCGACGTCCACC